AAATTTCGGTATTTCGGTTTACCGAAATAGTTCTTATAAAACCGAAAACCGAACCGAAACACTGAAATTCAAGTACCGAATTAGACCGAAATACCGAAAAAAATCGAAACCGAAATACCAAATTAATTTGGCTCGGTTCGGAATTCGGTTTTTCGGATTTTATGTCCATCCCTAGTAGCAATCCCCAACTACATGTTGTATATTTCCTAAATGGGCACAAGCACGTGTTTTGGACAAACCATCCTATCTGGAAAGTAAATTTTGTTCCTAATTTTTGAGTCAATATTTGCTTTTCTAGAAGTTAACCCACTTGTGACTCTTTCTTTCACAAATTCGCCATTATATTTTTGTTTATCATTTTCGTTTAAAGGACCCTTTTTCTAGATCCCAATCTTCAATCATGGCCGGAGAATACAATGGCTGATCATGTGGAACCAAAGAGTCCGTTTGGATTGACTTATTTTAAGTGCTTTTACGTTAAAATAGCTTTTAAGTCTTATTTTTTAAAAATTATTTTAACTTAAAAGTCACTTAAAAGAAACACATCCAAACGAAATCAGATGCCGAGCACCCAATACCATAATATAATATGGCTTGGTCTCCCCATGGGATTGAGTATTTAATTTGTGAGTTGTGACGTATTGAAGATAAAATTAGATTATGAGACTAAAGCTTACCATTTCAAGTCAATAAAAGCAAAAATAATTTCTTTAAATATGTTTAAGCTTTGGTGACATAAAGTACTCGTGATTAAGGAGGTGTAATTCTTTTACCAAGAACAAGTTTAGGAGGACAAAAGAAAATGGACTCAACTTCAATACTTTGACCGTTGGTCAAATTTGACCAAAGTATGGCGATTCTCTTTTTTTGATTTCCCACCCAATGTCCGATATCCATATTGGAGCCCGACTATATCCGGATTCGCGTCGCGTAGTGCCTCATTCGGGGGGAAACGCTCTCTACCAAGGATTTTTCCATACCTAGGGCTCGAACTCGAGACCTCTAGCTAAGGGAGGAACAGTCTCATCCACTGCACCACATCCTTTGATGGTAAGCAAGACGAAGTCAAACTTGATGCAGGAGATAATTATTTATAAATAAGAATCAAAATTACTCTAGATAAATCAAATTAAGGATGGAAGTTTTTCTATATTTATCCTGAGATCTCGAATTCGAAATGAAATAATAAAAAAATTCTGATAAAAAGCTTGGCGGCTTTCCCTTTTAAAGACCCTATTCAATGTGCATCCAAATTAATCAAAGGGTCAACAAATCTATATTTATCTATCTATATATATATATATATATATATATTAAAGGAATAAAGTTACCATATATAGTTGGCATTATGGTTAAGCCAATTGACAAGCTAATAAATATCAATAATATATGGTAACTTTATTCTATATTTGAATATGTTAGTCAAATACAAATATATATAAATATATATATATATATATATATATATAGAGAGAGAGAGAGAGAGAGAGAGAGAGAGAGAGTCTGAATTAAAAAATAATTTTGAATTTATAGATAAAGTTTTAAAATTCGAATTTAAATTAAAAATAAATTTTTATCTTTTTTTAATCATGTTATCATATTTACTTTGGTTATTGATCATATGCAATCATGTTAGGAACTTTTGTTATATTTTCTAATTATTTAAATACTACTTCGTCTCTGGCAAAAAAAAAAAAAAATTACTCCATATAACTATAAAACTTTTTCACATTTAATACCCTATAATTATAGTTCTTTAAAACACTGTAGCTAAATTTGAATAAAGCGAATTCTTTTAAAATAAATGTAATATATAGGGTACACATCTATGTTTATCCAAATAACAAAAAAGAGTTTAAAAATCGAATAAAAGTTTACTTACATATATAATGAAGTAAACATAAATGTTGGAGAAAATACATCAAAAAACGTTATTTTTTTCTTTTCCTTTATGAAGAATATTTGTTTGAAGAATTGTATAGATGGACATCAAACAATTAACAAAATTTTGGTTATATAATTGCTATTATTAATTCAATTTAGCATATTTTAGGAATTGAAGGGTATAAGTTGGAACCCCTTCATTTAGCTGTAGTCAAGCCAATATTGCAAGAGGATAATATTCTTTTCGTTGAAGAATATTAGTTTTGAATCATTAGATTATGTGAAAGGTTTTTTTTCCTCGAACTCAACAAGAGAGATATTGGTTTCTAATTGATAGTTTCTATAGCGATTTTCAAGTGTAACAAAAAATATATTTTATAAAAAAAATTGGTAAGACGTGAAATATTTTTTTATAAACTGTAAACAAATTATTTCGAAAAATCTCTTTACTTTTGTCTACTTTAAAGATAATAAAAATATAAGATATTTTTGAACATTAGTAGAGAGTTTTTAAAATTATTATAATAGAATTTGTATCATGGATAAACTCAAAAAACCAAACTCTTATGGAATATTTACATAAATATCCGGTCAGATTTATTGTTTACTTTTTATAGCTAATATAAGTAGATGATATGCTGACAACACACGATTGTACACATATTATATATGGATTGTATAAAAATTACACATCCTTCAATTGTTTAATTTAAGTGGTCGGGTGATCATCTATTTAAGCTGATTAGACAAAGCCAGAAGAAAAATATGAAAGAATTTCAACCAAAGACTGAAAATATAAATAAAAATTCTTATGTAGATAATTTCTATTAAAACTCATCCTTTTATAGTGAATAAATTATTTTTTGTAACAAAAGAAAGAATATATAAAAAATAAGATAAAAGAAAAAAATATTAAAAAAATGTATGAAAGATCTAAAAACCAGAAATATGAGATGACAACGAATTTCTTCTGATGATTCATCTTTGTTGAATATAAAAAAATTGGACATAAATATCATCAATTTCAAATATTTTTTGTCAATTCAAGTACACAAATTTTAAGGTTATTTACATATGAATCAAATAACTTAGTTATTTAACATGGTTAATGTCAAATATCAAAATGGGGTCATACTGAAAAATAAATTCACTGACATTATTATAAAAATAATTATTATTGAAAAATAAAATTTTAGAAACTAAAATTTTAAAAAAGAAATATTTTTTAAGAGGTATCGACACACCAAATAAGAGTTCAAGTAATAGTAAAAGAGTCTAGTCGTATCCACAGAGTGATTCATAGTCTCAAGATTTGATTGTTTTGCCATAATCATGAGTTATTATTTCGCTTCATGATTACTTTTAGGATCCAATGACATCGGCGAGAATGATATCGAAAAAGAAAAATAGAAGAAGTGGTTAATTTTTTTTTTTCATATAGTGTTTTTTTATTAATATCCAATGACTATTTATATTTACCGAGAAAGTTTAAATTGTAAGATTATTTACATATAATCCAAATAACTTAAATAATTAACATAATTAGTATCCGCGCATCCGCACGGGTATTAATACTAGTTCAATATCAAATAGTTAAGGAAAGATACAATATACTTCCTTCGTCCCATTTTAATTGTCACTTTACCTCAAAGGAATCGTTATTTTAGAAATTCAAAATTAAATTTATTAATTGTTTTCAATTATATATTCTTAATATTAAAGAAATAGTAATTCTTTTTAATAATACTCAGAGTATTTAATATGGGAGAGAGGGAGTAATATTGTCGAAAACTTATAGGAGAATTTGAAATTCCCAATAACATTAAAAACATGAAGTTGAAGAGTTTATATATGAGTATAGTACAACTATTTTCTGATATATAAATAAGGAATTTTTTCGTCCCGTAAACAATAAAAAACGCATGTACAATCCGTAATATATCAAATAATATCTATAAATAACTAATTATAACTAAAAGATAGTGCTTTATAAAAATTTCTCTATAAATAATTAATTGAATCTAATGGATAAGGTTCAACCTTTACATAGATCCACATGATTGAAATACCCACCCACCGAAACAGACTAATCATCAACCGTTAACCAATCAGCTTAAGACAAGCGCTTGGCTCCGACCCCTTTGACACCAGAAAAATTCCCCCAAATTCAAAAATCGATCTCCTATTTCTCGAAAAATCGCTCAGTTTACAGAATATTCGAATTCTCGGTTCCTAATAGTACACTCCCTGGTATAAAAAATAAGCAAAATTTCGATTACTCTTTTTGATTTAACTCCCAATTTCCTTCTAAAATATCTCAATTGTTGAAAAAGGTATGTTTTCCTTTTCTAGTATTTAAATTTCAGTTTCTGTTTGTATTTTCAGTTTTATTTTTGCTTATTGTTAGTCAAAGTCTGTGGATCTGTGGTTTTAGTTGCTGGTTTTCGCTATTTGTATGTTTTACATTGTAGTTTTACATTTTTCATGAACATTTTAATGTTGTATTAATTCATAGGACATCTTTGAATGAAAAATGGAAATATTAAAGTTTGTTTAGCTCTTGTGTGAATTTAATGCAAGCAAAAGTTCCTAGATTTTTTGGAGATACAGTGCAGCATATAAGTTATCATGCAAATGGATTATGTAATTATTGGAATAATTGTATGTTGGTCAATTAAGGAGACTCGGAAATTTATTGTGTCTTTAAAAGGTCTATTACCAGGCCATATTTTGTTTGGATTCTGATCGATTTTCTAGTTATTTAGATAAGTGATTTTTAGATTGCTTATTAAAATATACTAATCATTTTCATTATAACCATAGTTATCTGTTAAACGTGATTATTTATGCACTACTATACTATCGCTGTACCGATGTCAGATCCTCAAAAAATGCATAACTTTTGGAGTATCCAATACGCACTAGCAGGCATTTTTGAACGACTCGAGCAACATAGCGGCACTAACTAAACATTGATACTGTAAGAAGTTATTTTTTATTAAAAAGCTGATTAAATAGGTAAAATAATCAAAACTACAGTTGCACTCAAGGGTGTGGCCCAGTGGTCAATGAAGTGGGGGAGAACCATGAGGTCTCAAGCATAAATCCCAACGGAAAAAAAACACTAGGTGATTTTTGTCCCATCTGCTTAAGTCTTGGTGGACACAACTACCATGTACCTGCGCTGGTGGGAGGTAGCAGATACCCAGTGGAATAATCAAGGTGCCTATACACCACCGACATAAAAAAATAAAAAAATAATCAGAACTAGAGTGGCCCTTTTAGTCATGTTTAAAGACGAGTTTCTAGTAATTTCTTTGGTAAAATTTTGTGAGTTTCGTTCAAGCACCAAATTTATGATCCTCACCTTCTGAATCGGGAGAATCATGTTTATAGACAAAGACCATATTAATTTGCTATGAATGTGGTAAATCTGCGATGTTCCACTTATTACGTTTAACTTGGGAAAAAGTAGTTGTTTTACTTAAACTATGGAAGGAGGTAACTTAATTTCTTATTGGAGTCTGATGTATTTTTATTTGGACGCGGTAATTTATTGTCTTGAACTTTTGTTTTGTGGCAGGAGTAGGACCTCTAAATTCTAATATCATTATTGTGGCAAAACATCTGCGTCATTATCAATCATGAAGTACCTGGAATACACCCCTCTTGATCGGTAAGCTTTGACATGTAATGACATTCAAATAAGTGCTGAAGATCTTTAGTTGGTTGCTTGCAGTGAATTATTTTGACATTTACAGGATAAATGACTTTCTGAGTCATGTGAATCTTGGAGAGCGAACCATTAAAGGATGTCTCGAAGCATACTCTTGTAAGTGTTTTTAGTGACTTCCAAGTGTAGCGTCCTTGCTTCTGGACAATCTAAAATATACTTTGCCTGTTGTTTTTAGGTAAACATACTGGAACAGATAAGAAACTTTCGCTTAGTTTGGAGAATGAGGTAATTTCGATTGATGAAACTCATCTATAACTTTGTTTGTTTACTCTTCACTGAGGCTTGGTGCAATCACGCGCAACACTTCATATGTTTACTATTTTGCAACACCCTATTATGGAACTTTTTTTAGCATTAAGGGCTGATTGGTGAGAAAATAATACAATTTTGTTAACTTCATTAAAAGAAAAAAGAAAAAGGAATCCATGTATTTAAGTTTAAAGTAGAAGGCCTCTTTTAATATTGGCTGATGAGGTAATTGCTTTTATGAACGTGCTCTGGATTGAGTACATCTAGGATAAAAAGGATATGGGCTCCTATTCAATAACCTCTGCAGATCCTGAAAAAAATCACAGGGAACTTACAGAGTTCAATCTGTATATACCATTTTTGTTTTATTTATCAAGGCCAATCGACAATAGATGTACTGGCGCTCTGCTTTGGATAGTAACAAGCTTTGACTGTGAACTCCCTTTCCCATTCAGCTCTACTTTAGTTTGTCTCCTCTGGGGTTTTGTGCTTGTTCCAGTTTAAGTAGCAACTCTATTGCGGTGTTTAGCTTCCAATCCCCCTAATACCTTCTGAACATAATACCCCATGAGTTCCCAGTTTTGCAGTAATCTATGCATGCTTTAGGGTGCATCCCAAGTTGGAATTGTTCTTGGAATTCTTCCTTTAAGGTATATTTGTCTTCTTTAAGGAATTATTTCAATCCATTTGTTGTGCCAGAGGCTAATATGTTCTTCACCTCCTTCATCAAAGTAGATGTGGGAGCTGAATTATTCCCAATATATGTGCTTCCAGGGTGTGAACCCACGTAGGCTGTTGTCACCTTTGTGCACCAGTGATTCTGCTCTCCAAATTTAGCAAGTTCAAACCCTTTTCCTGAGTCCCAGTATCTTTGTCAAGAGGGTTTAGGTCCAGATGTGTCACTTGCATGATTTGATTATAAATGCTTTTTTTCAATAATAGTGGCATCCGGTCCAGCTTACGCGCTCCTTCATTATTCCACCAGGTACCTGCCATCTCTCCCAAGAATAGGTACCGGGTAACTCTGCCCACCAAATGGGAAGAAATCACCTTGTGCTTTTGACTATAAATGCTTCTAATCCTGGTCTCTACTCTTCTGTCCTACTTGATTGGTAATCCAACCTTTGATTTAGAGAATAGAAGAGCTTTAACACACGTAGAAGTATGTTGTGCTTATCTTGATGTTCGCATTCTTATATTTTCTTTCTCAGTCAGACAGATAAAGAAAGTTACACCTTCCTCCCAATATGTAGACATAATAGTAGGAAGCTAGAAAAATTAAATCTCACTATTTTCAATCATGAAAAAGCTTTTTTGTGCTCATTATTGTATATTTATACTTTTATATTCTTCACCCTCCCTCATGTTGTGAAGCCTCATTTAGTTCTTTTAACTTCAGTTGTTTATGACAGTATCCAGGAAGTTGTTGGTCCGATTTTCTTCTTGTTGTGTTGTTACTAGTAGCTAATATAGTTTCTTCTTTCGCGGGATTATAAAGTGACTTTTGGTTGCAGATTTTTGATTATCTTGGAAGATCTTCGGACACCGATTCTTCTTCACCTGTTGAATATCTAAGCTGCAGATCGAGGTGGTGAATCCAGACCTACACCAGACCTACGGCTGGAGTATTAAATCTGAAACAAGTGTATTTTTGTTCATAATGTAATTTTTTTCTATATTTTTGTTCCAGTCGGAAAACATTGATATATCTACTCCTTACTCTCTATCACATGTATCCAGATTATGACTTCAGGTAAGTCTCTAACTTATGTTGAAATTATTTTTTTAATATCTTGTGCTTATTAAAAGAAGAATAATCCTCTTGAATTTGTAATAAGCTGACTGGGTGGATTATGGGTAATGCCACTGTCAGCTTCTTTGGCGACGTGGCATCCCGCTTTATAATCCTCTCTTACAGCTTTGGGAGTGTTGTCAGATGGTTTGACAGACAGTTTAGATTACTGTTGCTCTTTAAGGAGCTGAGAGTTCAAGTCTCTCCATTTCCCAATGCAATACTCCAGTTGTCTTGTTTGTATTCTGCCAATGCGTGTATATGCATTTTATCCCTGTTTTGCTATGACTTGCCAACTTTCTGGTTTACCAGTGCAGTGAAAGCTCACCAGTTTTTCACTGAAGAGAGCTGGGACAGTTTTAAGCAGATATTTGACATCTACATGTTTGAGGCTTCAAAGGTATATGCCGGGAAGATATTGGCAATTGCCTTGGTTGTCATGTTGCACTTTAATAGGAAATCATCTTCCCTTGGGTCTCACTTCATTAGCATTCTTATGAGTAAATTGCATAGAATTGGAGGTCACATAGCTAATCAAACAAGGTTGTTGTTTGGATCTATGCCCTTAATAGACCAAAATCAGATTAATTGTGTTTTTTCCTGAATAGAATTACACCTTCATTTCTTTTTGATGTTCCATAATAGCATCTGTGGAGCAATTAGATGATTAGGCTATTTTATCTTTTCCTTGTTTTCTGGGGAGGGTAGTGAGTGTATTATACGCCGTAATGGAGATGGTGTTGCACCATATTCATTTCAAGGCTTAGCAAGTTATCAAAATAGAGAACTTTGAGATATTTGTTTAGGTATGCTATGGTTTGGGTTGCAGGAGTGGCTTGAAGCAAATGAAGGCAGTCCTCTGCTTGAAACTCTGTACAAGGCTTTAGACGAGGTGAGATATTTTATTAACATAAAGAGAGGGCCAAGAGAGAGCGTGGTCAAGTTGCTTAGCTTATTAGCACTGCAGGTTGTGAAAGTTGCTGAATGTGAGATCTACACTTACAATCCAGAGGCAGATGCAGATCCATTTCTTGAGAGAGGAGCCATGTAAGGTTTTATATGAATTGATCCCCTTTGTTACCCAATCATTTTTATGCTGTGTCAACTTTCTGTGCGAGTTTCTATTCTTCGACTTATCATCTAAACCATCTGATTGAGGTCCTCTCTGGCCCCTCAGACAGCTAGATGGGCAAAATTGACTATATGCACGTCTGGTCACTACATTTTACTAAGTAGCTAAAAAGTCAAAAACTCTCAAGTACAGAAGGACACAACAATTCAAACATTAGAATGATAAGAGTGTGAACGGGCATTTTTGTTCTTTTGAGTCGCTTGCCGGAGAAAGGGGGGGGGGGGGTCGTCTGTTCATGTGTCGGAAGGAACTAGACAGCCCAAGAGGAAAGCTTTGACGACTTTAGTAATTTAAAAAGACCGTAGCACATGGTCATATTTCAACTAAAATATTGTCCAAACAAGGCAGATGTCACTTTGAGTTTTATGTTAATATCTTGGTGGGATAGTGTAACCTTCTAGATGGTATTAAAAGAGTGACAAGATTCCATTTGCTGGTCAAATTTCTTTTTTAAATGGTAGTGCATTAATACAAGTGTTTGTGTCTTTTCCAGATGGTCCTACCACTTCTTCTTCTACAATAGAAAGTTGAAACGTGTTGTGAGTTTCCGCTTCAGCTGTGTGAGGTGATTATTTTACCCTTCTATGGTTTCAGGATGCGATATTCTACTTTTCACTGAAATAATACCTTTAGGCCTGATCAACTGTTGTTTATTGCAGTAACTTGGTTGGTGAAGGATTTTTTTTAGACGGCTCAAGTTTTGAGGATGACGGAGAGATATTCGATGGCATGGACATGTGAATACAACATTTTGTTCATGGCACGTTGTTGATGTCGTATAGGCTTAAACCTTGTATGAAAATCAGTTTGTACAATTGACAGTAGGTACTGAAACTGTATCGTAAATAAGCATCATCCTTGTCTAGTTCGGAGGTTGAGGTAGCAATTCTCGCTGCTTCCTGATTTGGCTTGTAATTTCTGTTTGTATGTCATTAAGATTTGTAAAGTTGTGCGCGGCAATAATGTTGCTTCCTCGTCTGGTCTGCTTGCAGTTCTTTTTTGTTATTATGAATTCAATTCTCTTTCTATGTTCCACAACCTTTGTAACATGCTTTTGTGTTCTTTCAAGGCCATTTTTTTGGTTGAAATTATTGAAGTTGTCCTACATTAGTTGAACGGATGAGATGCTATCTCCTTATATGGTTTTGAGTAATTTTCGTGTCTTGAGCTAGCTTTGAGGTTGAGTTAAACTCGTCCGTTATACTCGTTCCCTATTTTTAGTTTATCCAATGTTGGGTTTTCTATGTCGTATTGTCTACGGTCTAGATGTCCCGACAACCGGGAGTATGTTGTCTCCATGTATGGTTTTGGATGATCTTTCACTTCATACGCAAGTTCTATGGTTATGTCCAGGTCTATTATTCTTTAACAGGAACATTGTGCTATTTATAAAAAGAAGTCCATTAGTGTGTTCATATACAATCATTCTCATTCGTTAGTGCCATTTGGTTATTCAGAAATAGAACAAATATGCTGTGAAACTGAAAGAACGGTGTGGCTTTTGTTCTGTTACTCTACCTGATTCTTCTTTGCTTTTCACCAAAAAATTAAAACCGAGAATTTCTTTTTGGTCATTTCAGAGATAATTATTTGTCCATTATACTTGTCGAGACACCAGGAATTAGTATATATAGATGAAAGATGCCATATGCTATTGAATATGTTCCACGTGACATATAATTTAATTAAGGTATGTTTGAGGAAAAAGGGTAAGATTAGGACAAGTGTTTTCTTATTCTATTGTTTGACTAAACCAATAACTTAATTTGCATTTGCATGATCATGGACACTAGGCCAATCCCATGGCAAAAGACAAGAATAACAATAAAAGAATGAAAAAACAAACTCACCAAAGGATGTGGTGCAGTAGATGATGCTGCTCTTCCCTTAACCAGAGATCTCGAGTTCGAACCTTAGGTATGGAAAAATCCTTGGTAGAGAGCACTTCCTCCCGAATGGGATCCTACCCAGATATAATAGGGCTCCAATGTAGGAACCAGACACCGGGTGGGAAACCAAAAAAACAATAGCCAACATATGAAAAGTAGGTAAGATGGACATAAATATTATTCAAACATAAATAAACTTAAAAGCTAATATAAGTCCAGTTTAAAAATTTAAACCAACCTCAGAAAGTTTAAGTATGTTAATGCAACGAGAATCTTGAAATAGCTATTACATTCAGTGGTGCGACCTCGCCCTATCCACAGTCTGAAATGTCACATAAGAGTACTGAAATTTCGTGCAAGTGTCTTGCAATAACTCCAAACCAATATAATTGGCTTATGCTTAATTTTCAAGATTAGACAGATTGTTCTTCTCCCACTTCCCAAATGTATATACTTATATATAGAAGCAGATAAATTACTCTTTATTTCCAATAGTAGCGGGGGATTAGATGCCTAAAATGATGCTTAATTTTCTGTGTATCTACTTTTTAAAATGCTCAACTTTTTTTGTTTTTTTACTCTAAGGCTTTCATCTAGTGGTAAGAACGCAACGTGGGCAAAGGCGAAGCCAGAATTTGAAGCTTATGAGTTCACGATTCTTGTTCTTTTAAGTTATTGAGTTCTAATTTAATAATTTGTGCATATTCAATAAATTTCTTAAGACAAATATAAGGTTTGTACCAAAGCTACTGGGTTCGATCGAACCTCGCCTCTGAACGTGAGATTTGTAAGTTAGGCACACGTCACAGGTTTGAGCCTTCTTGTAGACAAAAACCTGGTATTTAAGCAGAGAGGGGCGGAGGGAGAGTCCATATCCACTGAATCTCGAACCATACATACGCTACTAGTCTTTGAAAATTTCTCGATTATAAAAAAAAAAGCTCACATTAAAAATACTAGTTTTTATGTTCTTCTAAGAGTCAAATTTATTACTAAAATGGAGAATGAAAATGTTAAACTTGTGAGCAATTTGTGTGGTCATTATAAGCTAATGATCGACATTGAATAATAGCTAATAAAGTTATATATTCGAACAATCTGCAACATGTAGGAATTTCAATTAAAAATTAGTAGAAAACAGCTAAATATATTCATAAATTAGACATTGTTGCATAAAACAATGATGTGATATAAAAGAATTGATTTCATATTCCTTTTGCTTCATGGATCTTTTACTATATATGTTGTAGCTCATTTATGCACTTAAAAATGTGGCTAACCAAACAAGAAAAACTTAAGGAAATTTTGTATTATAGCCTTATATAATATTTCAACAACAGATTGTTGAAAATGAGTTGCCTTCAGAAATGGAAGACAGTTATTGCAATGATAATTGTTGAATTTGGTTTTGCTGCTGTAAATGCACTTTTCAAGAAAGTCCTCAATGGAGGAATGGACCAATTGGTGGCATCAACATATAGGCTTGCAGTGTCTGCTATTTTCTTAGCCCCCTTAGCCTGGTTTTTCGAACGGTATGAGTTTAACTTCTATATACTGATTCCGTAATTCTTTTTTTAAAAAGAAATTGTATCAGATCATTTAAAAGATAGTTATGTATAAATGTTCATAATGAGTTTGAAAGGTACGTCTTTTCATACGTTGTTTTTTTCATTATAATAAGAGTTTAACTTTTATATGCGGATAGTGATAATCACTGGTAACAATATGAGTTTAACTTCTATATAATGGTCGTGTAATATTTTCCTATACTATCAAAGTCACCTAAAAGAGTTACTATATGTATCTGTTCATAATGAATTTAACTTCTACTATATGCTTGTTTACCCTAAAAAATGGATAACAATTGAATTTATATGTAATTTTAAGGATATGCTGATTAATTCAATACAAAAGATTAATGACGTTAGATTTAAACAAATGAAAGACATTATAAAGTGTCAAACCAATAATAAGAGCGATCCCAGGTTCGGTAAATGGTTTAATGAGGAGCCTCCTTCGAAACCAAACTTATCCTTATGAAGAGCTGATGAACAAAAGTAAGGACTTTGAATAACAGATAGAGAATAAGAGTATATTGCCCTGATATGCGTGTTACAATATGTCGAATGAATCGTTAGTTTCTCCTTTATATAGTAGGGGAATTTCACCCTAAGTACAATTCTAATAAAGGATAAAAATCTTTCTTTATGCTAATCATTGATTCATTGCTGATACGGGTCGAGATTTACGCCGTGACATCCGGTTGAGCAGGGATGTCACGGCCCTCTGTTAGTCGTGTTGGGCCGTTTGGTAATGCTCTCCGAAGTTTAGGGATTCGTATCGGACTTGAGACGTGGCCCGATGCTTCCGATCGAGGGTGGGTGTTTTGCTCGATGCTCGATATAAGAGGCTCTTCGCCCAAATTCCGATTCCTTACGATCACGTTCCAGTCCCGTTTGTCTTACCGGGAAACCAAGATGTTCAACAGGCTTAATTTTACCCGTATACAACGCTGGCAATCTAAGTTTTACACTATCTGATCACCTTCACAGTCGACAAGTAATTGTCCAAATCTACGGTAGGGGCGAAGCTAGACTATTACTTACGGATTCGAACGAACCTAGCAACTTTTTCTTAGACTTTGTATTTGCATTCTTAAATGTGTATAAATATACAACTGCAAACATAATAATTAAGACGAGCTATAAGTATAGTGGCAAGTTCAAGGCTCATAAATTTCAAATCCCGACTTCGCCTCTGATCTACGAAACTAGTTAGTTGAAAAATAAGGGAGACAACTAATTACAACATGTTAAATTATGCTGACTACATAAATAACTTTAAAATTCTCAGTATTATATAAGTGGAGCTAGTTACGTGAAAAATAAGGCAGACAACTTGAGATAATATGTTAAATTACACTGCTATGTAAATATTATTTACAATGTTTATATATGTAAGTTAAATTCTTAGCATATTTATTTCCCAAAGCAGCTTGAAAAATTAAATCTTCAATTGCCTTGCAGAAATGTGACATCAAAATTAACGGCTCGCATTATCTGTTCTCTGTTTATCAGTGCACTGCTGGGGTGAGTTTTCCTATTTATTTTATGATAAAGTTTCATATGTTATTTATTTCAATAAATATTATATTATATTCTAGTCAATAACAATTACTAACTCTGAGAAAGAGCCATTTTCAGGGGTACACTGACTCAATATTTCTTCCTACTTGGGCTGGAATACACATCAACAACATTTAGCTGTGCTTTCCTCAATATGGTGCCTGTCATCACTTTCATTTTGGCTTTGCTACTTAGGTAAATCCGACCATAATTGGTTTGGTTTGGTTTTAACTAAAGAAAGTCAAACCGAAATCAAACCAACCCGACATTACATATGTAGAAATTTTAGTTATATTTAATATATATAAATATAATTATTGTGATGCAATTTATAAATATTTCTTAAACGACTTCATAATTTTATCTTTTGAGGTATTATTTCAAGGTTGGACTTAGAACTTTTGAATGTTCCAATAAGTTTTATAGCCATTAACATTAGTAAATTAAATAGTGCTAATAAAAGCCCAAACCAAAATCAAATCAATACTAATGCTAATAAAAGATATTTAATTCAATACTACGAACGAGAATGTATTGAATATCTATTTTTTGCTTTGCAATAATTCAGATAAAAATGCATAACCTATTTTTATTTTTTCTTTATCGTTTAATCATGTAATTAATACTCCCTTATTAGTCTACTTATTTTAGCATGACCTATTACTTTTAGATTATGTTTATTTTTATTATGGCTTTTTAATTAGCAATATTTATATTACATAATTTTATTGTCTTTATTGTTGAATATTTTAGGATAATGCCATGACATATCTCATATTTTGTATTATTTTCTTGGAAAATACTTTATATAGTTGCATCTTACTAGGACTAAAGAAATATTTTGAGCACAATTTATATGTTTTGTTCTACGAAGATTTTACCGGAACCCCCTCCCCCCCCCCTAAAAAACCCGAATAACCCGAAAATCCGAGAAAAACCGAAAGTGAAAAACCCGAGTTTTATTGATTTGGTTTGGTTTTTATATTTAATAACCCGATACAATTGGTTTGGTTT